GCAGGCGCGCGCGGACGGCGCCCTCGCGCGTCGTCTCTTCGCGGTTGTCCTCGACGAGCAGGCGGCGCGGCACCGGCTCGAGCGGCAGGCCCTCGCGTGGGAGGCCGACGTCGACGCCGACCCTCGTGCGGAAGAAAGCGGGGGGATCGATCGGAATCGATTCTTCGCGGGCGCGCTTCGCCTCCTGCTCTCGGAGCGGACCCAACTCCTACGCGATTGGACGAGCTACCAGCGGCGCTCCACGCATCACGCCCGGGCGATGCAAGCGCAGTACACGGAGGCCCTTCACCACGCCGAGGCGGAGCGGCAGCGGTTATCCCGCGAGCTCGACCACGCCCGAGCGCGCGAGGCAGCGATGCGAAGCGAGGCGATGCCGGAAACGACGCGGCCGCATCGCAGCCCGCCCCAAACGATGCGCGATGCCGCGTTGGATCCGATTCCGGCAGCGGCGGATCGCTCGATCGCGGACGAGGCGGTGGTGGCGGTGGTGCAGCTCTCGCCCGGGCGGGCTGGATCGGCAGAGCCTCAGGGATTCGCCGACGACGCCGATTCGCGCGCGCTTCCCACGGCAATTGGCTTTTGGAAGCAGACAAGCGAGCGTCTGCGGGCGGAGCTCGACCGCCTCAGCAGCGCGCACAAGGTAACCGTGCAGACGCAGCTCGCCACTGCGAAGGAAAACGACCGGCTGCTGGAATACACCGCCGACCTCGAGCAGCGCCTGCGAACGAAGGAGCAGGAGCACGATCGGGAAAAGGAAAACCTCCTCCGCACCCTCCATAACCTTCAGGATGATATCAAGAGCAAGGCTACCGCGTTGGATACTCTGGAGGAGGAAGCCCAGGTGAAGATCGGGGAAAAACGACGCCGCATTGCGGAGCTTGAAGGGCAGGTGGAATCCCTTCAGGAAGCGCAGGAAAGACAGCTGGAGGGGCATGTGAAGTACCGAGAGGAGGCGGCCGCACGCGCAAAAGAGCTGGAGGCCGCCTGCGATGCCCTCCGCGAGGAGCGACGGCACCACGAGGAGGAAATTCACACCCTCAAGGCGCGGCTTGGCGAGCTCGAAAAACGCGCCACCGCGGGGGTTCAACTCCAGCACCTTGAGGAGCAGCACCAGAAGGAGAAGGTACGCCTCATAGAGGCGATCCAGATCGCGCGGGAGCAGCTGATTCGTCAGCATCACGCGAGCTCCGTGCTGATTCAGCAAAACCAGGAGAAGGACGTCGCCTTGAAGAAAAAGGAACAAGAACTCGAGCGCTGCATGGCTGAGCTGGAGGAGGCCCAGAAGAGTAGCCGAGCAAGGCAAAAGGCAACCCTCGAGATGCTATCTCAGATGATTCTTACTGACAAATAGCGATTTATCCTTTCTCTTTGAGTACCTTACCGCGGCCTTATTTTGCCCTCAATGCATAAATAGTCATCCTCGCCTTGGGTATGGTCTTCTTAAATTATTCATTTTTTTTTTCTTTGCAGGTTTATTACCCTCTTCTTTTGGGTGGAGAAGCACCACAATGGGTTCTTGTATCCACGTTAAACTTGCTAAGCACACGCACCTCTCTCGGTGCTGCTTTACAACAATCCCTCTTTCTCCGTGTTTGCCAGCTTTCTCTTTTCTTTCCCATTTCTTCCCCTGTTGTTCTTGTGTAAAGGGAGAAGCCAACGATCCATCGTGTGATCCTCCAAGAGTCCTCACCATCAAGGAAAGCAAAGACCCCCTCTCTCCCCCCCCCCCCCTCCCTTCCACCCCCTTCCTAGACTTCCCGAATGCGGCGTTTCAACTGCGTTCCCGCTGCTCTCATCGTGGAGCGGCAGGGCGCGCCGTCGTCGCCCGGGAGCCCCCCCTTTGCCGGTCTTTTCATCGCCCGCCGTGGTCGTTTTTACCGCCCCCTCACGAATCAAGGCATTAACCTCTGGCGGCGGCGAATGGGGCGGATCCATAACGGATGGAACTACTGGGATTACGCGCACACCCGCCCGGATCCCCGCCCGATGCCGGAGCCGGCTGTCAACAATTATTACGGCCGCTCTCGGATTTGGAACCCGATCGCGGGGAAGATCGGGCTGGTGAATCGAAAGGCGGAGAATTGGAATTGGCCGCACGCACGGCCGCCCCCGACGGGGCTGCGGCGCTCCCGTGAATTTCTCCCGCACTTTCTCGATCGCTACTTCCCCGAGGTGGAGGTGCGGCTCGTGCTCGATAGCGTTCTGAACAACGAAACGACGCGGCCGGTGTTTCACATCCCACAAGATATGTCGAAGCGGGAGCTGGCGAACTACCTGAAGAATATCTACGGCATCGACCCCATCGTGCGCATCCAGGTCCACAACCAACGGGGGCGGCGATTTAAAAATGAGGTGGGGCAAATCAAGTCGCTGCCGGATTATAAAGTTGCCGTGGTGGAGTTGGAATCGCCTGTGAAGATTGAGATGAAGCAGCTCAAGGGGACGGAGGACACACCGGATAACAGCCCGCGCGCCCAGATCTCGTAAGTCAAAAAAAAAAAGGGAGGATTCGTGCAATGAAAAGTGATGACGTATGGGAGCGGCGAAGGCCCTAGAATGGCCCTCTAGTATTTGGAAAACGAGGTGAAAAAGGGATTGGAAAGGATTAAAGTGTGTATTCTTGACTGTTTGGTGAGGCCTCTCCTCAAAGACGAGGGAGAGGGGGAAGGAAGAAGTCCATCAATACGATACGAAGGATATCTCTGTGAACATGTGGCATGGTTGCCGTCAATGGAGGGGGTTCCCCCTTTTACCCACCCCCAATTCTATATACTCTCTTTTTCTCTACTTTTTTTTTTACATTTTTATTATTCTCCTATGTGTGTATGGTTCTCTGTGGAAGTAAGCGACTTATTTTCAATCTTCATTCATCACTCCAACCAACCAACCACCACCACCACCACCCAAACACTCACCTCATGTCTTACAAGCCGCACCACCCGATCGTGCCGACCAACCCGAAGGTCTGGCTCGACATCGAGATCGGCGGGGAGAAGGCGGGGCGCATCACGATTGAGCTCTTCGCGGATGCGGCGCCGAAGACCGCCGAGAACTTCCGTGCGCTCTGCACCGGCGAAAAGGGCTTCGGCTACGCCGGGAGCCCCTTCCACCGCGTGATTCCGAACTTCATGTGCCAGGGTGGCGACATCACGGCCGGGAACGGAACCGGAGGGAAGTCGATCTACGGCCGCACCTTCCCCGATGAGGGCTTCGCGGGAAAGGCGGGGCGGCACTTCGGCCCGGGCACCCTCTCCATGGCGAATGCCGGCCCGAACACCAACGGCTCCCAGTTCTTCCTCTGCACCGCGCCGACGAGCTGGCTGGATGGAAAGCACGTCGTCTTCGGGCAGGTGCTCGAGGGCTATGATGTCGTGAAGGCGATCGAGCGCGTCGGCTCCGAGGGGGGCGCGACGCGGAAACCCGTCAAGATCGCCGCCTGTGGCCAGTTGAGCAATTAACGAGACTGGGTAGGAGCGTGCACCCTGTGTCTATATATCTATATATAAATATTGATTGATTGATTTATTTAATTATTAAAAGAAAAAATACAGTGGTATATTTTCTTTTCTACCTGAGAAAAAAAAATCGGAAAAGTTAAAAGGAAAATCATAATTTGTGAGTATATATATATTATCTGGCACTATTTCAGTTGGTCGAATTCAGGTGAGCCACCCTACGTGTTCTTTTATTTTTCACCATCTCAATTATAAAAAGTAGATGGACATGTATCGATTTTTTTTATTATGGACTTATCCCTGCACTTTAACACTTTCTGTGACGGACGACGGAAAAAAACGTGCGCAGATGGGAAGATGCGAGGGAAGAAGAAAAAAGGGAAAAATGGTCTAAAAAATAAAAGAATTCATGGTGGGCTTCTATTTATATAGATATATATATATATATTTATTAACGATAGGTCTTCTAACTCGGAATGATTGCTGCACAGCTCCCTCTTCGTGTTTGTCCTTTAGTTAGCTCTGAGGATCCTGCATGAGCCATTTTTCCTTTCATTCTCCACGATTTTCTATGTTGCCATGAATGCCGAATTCTTTAGTGTTTCAACGTGAAGGCGAAGCGCACGCACAAACTCGAGCGTGTATTTCGGCGAAGAGTTAATAACTTACAATTCACACACTACACACACACATATATATATAGACAAAGGTTTGGATTGATCCCTTTTCAACATTATAGATTAGTTTGTGTTTTCATTCTTTTCCATTTAATCTTTCCGTTGTAGTCGCGTGTGTGATTCGGCCAGAATCCGAGTTCTCGAGATCATCCACAGACGAACCGTCTCCCCACCCGACTCAACTAACATTATTTGATAGATAACTAATACTAAATCCCGTCATCATAACGTGTGGCGTGCATAGAACCAATAGATTCAAATTCCAAGATCCCTCTGTTTGGACTTTTTTTAGATCCCGATGGACGGTGACGAGTGTGGCCTGGCGACTCTTCTTCAGGCAACCCCTGATCGCTCCCCCGCGCCGATTCCCGCGGGCGTTCTGCTCTTCTCCACCCCCGGCTCCGGCGACGGCACCGCCACGCCCCATTCCCACCCCCCTCGCGAGCGATGGCGTGGGCGAGAGGGGAAATCCACCCCCGCCTGCGCGATGGCGATGACGACGCCCATGCGAAGCGGAGGCGAGGAGGGGGAGGGGGAAAGGGAAGGGGAAGGGGAGGGGCCGCCGCTTTCCCCTTCCCCGGCACCTCCCCGCGGCGCTTTATTTCGCGGTGGGGAGGACAAACTCGCGCGAACGCCGCACCCCCCCCCCCCCTCCGGAGCTCGGAGCTACGCCTACCTCCACCACCCCTCCCCTGCGGCGGGGACCGGGAACTCCCCGAACGAGCCCCGGCGTTTCAACCAACGCGAGAAGCAACTCTCCTACGGGCTGGAGACGGTCGGGTATAAGAACATGATCCGGCTCCTCGCGCACGACCCGTTGCTGAAAAGCGGCGGGGTCCTGCCGCTGCTCCCGCCCGGGGTGGAGCAGGGGAGCAAGCGGAGCTGGGATCTCCAAACCCGCAAGTGGCGGCGCGACCTCCACATGTTCGACCACGTCTTCCTCGACGGCGTCGACGACGAGGCCGCGCGGGCGCCGTTGTTGGAGGCGCAGCGGCGGGAATGGCGGAGTCTCGTCTTCGCCGGGACCCCCAAGGAGCGGCGGCGGCGGATCCCCATGGCGGTCCTCCTCGCCGCCGCGGGGTCGCCGCGGGTGCCGACGCGGATCCCCGTCGACGCCGCCCTCCGCGGGCTGCTCCGCCACGACGGGGCGTACGTCCCCATCGGCGACGTCATCCCGCAGTCGGCGTCGTCGCTGACGAAGGGGACGGGGATCAGCCCGCTCGAGGCGGGCTTCAAAATCCACATCGCCCCGTCCGAGGAGGTCCTCCGCGCGCGGCGGGCGCAGCAGGAGGCCGCGGAGGCCCCGCCGCGCGCGAAATCGACCGCCATCTCGCCCCCGCAGCCCCTCTTCTCGCCGAGCGGATCGCCGCAGGGGTTCTCGCCGAGCCCGGCGCTCCCCATCGCCCACGGCGGCCGGCGGAGTCCGTCGCCCTCGCAGACGACCGTCGTGCAGCAGCTCGCCTTCAACTCCGTCTCCGTCAGCACCCCCGCGCGGCGAGGGCTCTCGCGAGGGGCCCCGCTCCGATCATCCCAGCCGCAATCCCAATCCGAACCCCAACCGCCCTCGCAACCCTATCTCCATCCTCCCGCGCAGCTGGCGGTCTTGGGCTCGCCGCCAGGCGGGGGGGAGGGGCGAGGGGGCTTCGCCGCGCCTTTCGTCCTCACCGTGGAGGGGGCGATGCTCGCCGGGGGGTGGCCGTTCGTCGCGATCCCCACCGCCGCCGGGGGCAGCCCTGCCCGTCAACCCCAACCCCCATCCCAACCCCAACCCCAACCCCTCCTGTCGTTCTCGCCGCCGCATCTGCAGCCGACGGGGTTGACGCCGGTGGTGGCGGTGCTGCCGTACGGCCCCTACCCCGCGTGGGCGACGCCGGTCGGGGGGAACGCCTTTCCGCAGCCTCCCCCTCCTCCTCCTTCGGCGTTGAAGTCGTCGTTGACGGCGATGGGAGGGGGGGGGGGAGGGTCGGCGACGAAGCGGAAGCCGGCCGCGGCGGTGCCGAAGTACATTTCGATGCTGCCGATGCCCTCCACGACGACGACGATGAGCACCCCTCAAAAGGCCGGGGAAGTGAACGAGCCCAGCACGGCATCCCGAAACGCGCCGTGAAATCGTAACGTGTTGGAAAAAAAAGAAAGGGAAGGAAGGGTGGGGGGGGTGGGGGGGGGAGAGAGAGAGAGAAAGGTCCTGCTGCGTATGGCGATGATGGAGGCAGGAGTAAAAACGCAAAGAATACGTGGCGATAGAGAGAGGAGGAGAGTTCCTCAGTCGTTGGGGGAGGTGATCGAACAAAGATAGGTATGCCTTCAGCATAATAGAGCAATGAACCAACATGCAGGATGGCACTTTCGAAGAGGGGAGGCATTTTCGCTAGACATAGAAAATTCAAAATCTCTTAAATACGAGATCCAGTCCTTTTTTGCTGCGTTCTCATTCGTTGAAGGAGTGTGATAAATTCAATATTTTCAAGATTTTTTTTGCATGTGGGAATGTTTGATGCCCTCGCTTCTCGTATACTCTCATTATTTGTACCGGAAGCTTCATGCTGCATTATATATATAGAATGAAGGGTATATTTATATACATGCAGTATGTGTGTGAGCATTTATCTTTACCTTTTATTGTACTCTACATCTCTCTAATGCCCACTTCCCTCCCAACGATTTTGTTGGAAGGATAATAGATTCCTTATGTATTATATGTGTATTACCCTGGAAGTACGTGACGGGGCTTTGTTTTTGTTTTTCGTTCGTCTGGTCCGACCTAGGAAGAGTATCTATTATTTCCCACCCCCTCCTTCTCATCTTCAGAGCTTGCTGAGTTCGGGGGTAGGGAAGAGGGGTGGCTCTTGGGGATGCAATGTGCACAATTTTCAACAATTGTTTTACATGATCAATGTGTACGCTCGTAATGAGAGGGAAAGCATCCCATATAACTCAATTATGAAACTTTGATAAAGCGAAGCCCATTCATGTATAACTAAAAGGTGCAATCCATTGTCAAAATAAAAATATAAAATATAGTATATTTCCAATCTAAACTCAATTCACGTTAACGTTAAGGAAAGAATATGCGTATCGAGATGTGTCTTTTAACATCTTACTCGATATGGAACTCACACCTCTTATAGAATAAAGCAAGGGAAGTAGCCTCAGAGTTGCCTTGTTTTTCTCTTTCCCAAGCCCCTCCTTACAACCAAATCGATAAATGATATAGATGTACGTTATCATGCATATTTTTTCCCCTAACTTGTATCGTCTCGAAACACGCATAGATGAGACCTTGAACGTGTCGTGGGGACCCTCATGCTGGGCTCCCTTCCCATATGATGGCTGCATGCCTATTCATGTACTTCTCTAATCTCCTTACATGAGGCCATCACCCGCTATTTCTCCATTTTTTCTTTTGTTTTGTTTTTCTTTTCTTGGTTGTGGTTGGTGTTCTTTGGCAGATTCCATTACCGCCAGCCCTTCCCATGCCGGAGTGGCGGCTGACGAACAACGTGTTGGAGAACCCGCTCGGGCTGAATCGCGTCGTCGAGGCCGTCATCCGCGGCGACCTCGGCTTCCTCCTCACTAACCTCACGCGGCGAAACGTCAACGCGGCCGACGCCGTCCACCGGCTGCCGGCGCTTCACTGGGCCCTCGCCCTCGGGCGGCGGGCGACCGTCCGGCTGCTCCTCGCCCGCGGCGCCGCCCTCCACGCGCTCGACGGCGGCGGTTTCAGCCCCCTTCATCGCGCGGTGTGGAGCGGCGACGTCGCGCTCGTTCGCGCGCTCCTCTTCCTCTCTCCCCATGAAAACGACCTGAGAGAGGGCGAAGAAGAAGGGAGAGGGGAAGAGGGAAAGGAAAAAAGAGAGGAAGAAGGAGAAACAAACGAAAACGACCGAAAAGGGGAGGAGGACGGGGTCGAAAAGGAGAAAACACCCGAGGAGAGGCTGCCGCCACGAAGGAAACCCCCCCCTCCGACGTGGCGGGCGGGGGCGCATCGCCTGGTGAACCTCCCCCACGCCGCCACCGGCCGCACCCCGCTGCTCCTCGCCGCCATCCGCGGCAACTTCGAGGTCGTGATGCTCCTCCTCAAGGAGTGCGGGGCGGATTTAAATGCGGTCGATCATAGCGGATTCAGCGCGCTCGATCTCGCCGCGCTCTGCGGGCATAAAACCCTCGTCGCACGGCTGTTGGCGGAGTCGGAGGTGCATCACATGGGCGAGGAGGGCCCCCACGTGCGATTACGCCAGCGCGTGGAGGATTTTTGCGAGACCGCGAAGAGTTTTCAGCAGCGCGATGAGTTGAATGAGATTAACCAGCTGGTGTGCATGCCGCTCGCGGTGCAATCCTTCGCGGCCTCTCAATGAACACGCAAGTAAATAGTAGTCCACACATAGAAAAAGAAGCAAAATAGCATATATAATATATATATGTATGTATTGCATGTATGTGTGTACACGTGCTCTGGATCAGTAAGGTGAGGGAAAGGTAGAACGTAAATTCGCTAGCTCCTTTTCTTTGTATTGTGTTGCGCTCTTTGTGACAAAAGAAAAAGCATTTTTTTTTACACATGTGACTTGATGTACATTTATCGGACGCAAAGGAAGGAACAAAATGTTTCCTTCCCTTGAGCGATCAGCCAATCCATAACTTATTTATGAAGGATTCCTCAGGGTGTTGAGACGGACGACGTGCTCCTTTTTACGGAACCGTTTTCGTACCGGTACTTCTTCATCTTCCCTTGGTTCATGTTTTCCCCCAAAAGGAAGGATCTCCATCCATGCAGAAAGTGAAGGATGGATAGCGAATCAAATAGCCCTCGTGATGGTTCAAACCGACCGATCCCGACGTCGGGAGAGCTCGCCGCCGAATGCCCTGAGCAGCGTTCGCAGTGTAGCGAGGCGGTCGTGGAGAGCGTCGTGCAAAGCGAAGAGGATGAAACCGCGCGCTCCTCGTCGTCCTCAGCGCGGGATGGAAATGAAAATCCAACGGCCGGGAGGTCGGTACGGATGATTCTTGAGGTTAACAGCGCGCTCAACGCATTAGAGGATGGCGCCTTCGACCTCGCCAGGGCGGCGTTCCCCACGCCGGGGGTGGAAGAAAATTCAAACGACCGCAGCTTCGACGGTGGATTCAATGGGGAACCCCTGCAGGTGGAATGGCACGCATCCGATGGGGTATCTTCTGAATTGTCCGGAGAAACGGGTGAGGGTGGGGTGGGGGAAACGTCGCCTCAGGAGGATTCCCACCCGACCTTCGTCGCGCCCGCGCGGGTGGAGGAAGAGGCGGCGATCGCCGGTCTGGCAAGCCGCGCAATCCCCCCGGGTGAGGCCCCGCGAGCGGCCGAAGAGCCGCCCCC